GCCCCTAATAACAAATGATATATATCTTTTCATATGGATTTGCTAATATTTTGTTAGGATTTTTGCATCTGTGTTCATGAGGGATATTGGGCTGTATTTGTCTTTTTTGTACTGTCTTTTCTGGTTTTGATATTAGGGTAATACTGGCCTCATAAAATAACTTGGAAAGTGTTTCTCCTATTTTATTTCTCTGTAAGAGACTGTGTAGAATCAGTGTTTTCTCCTTTAAATGTTTGGTAGAATTCACCCATGAAACCATACAGATATGGAGATTTATATTTCAGAAGGTTTTAAACTATGAATTCCATTTTTAAAATAGTTATAGGGCTATTTATTTATCTACTTCATTTTGGTAAGTTTTGGTAGCTTGTGGTTTTCAAGGAAGTGTTCCATTTCATCTAAACTGGTGGTTACACATGTGGAATTGTTTGGAGTATTCCTTAATTGTCCTTTCAATGGATGCTGGGTCTACAGTAATAACCCCTCTTTCATTCCAGATCCTGTTAATTTGTGTCTTGTCTCTTCAATTGTACTAAAGGCTTATTAATTTTAATAGTTTTTTCAAAGAACGAACTTTTGATTTCATTTACTTTTTGTTTTTTCTTTTTTCAATTTCACTGATTTTTGCTGTGATGTTTATATTTCCTTCATTTGGTTTGCTTTTAGTTTATTTTGCTCTTATTTTTCTAGTTGATCAAGATGGAGTCTAACTGATTCAAGACCTTCCTTCTTTTCTAATATAAATGCTTCATAGTATATATTTCCTGCCAAGCACTGCTTTAGCTTCATTGCATGAATTTTTGATGGGTTGTATTTTCACTTTTGTTCAGCTCAAAATATGTTCTAATGTTCCTTCAGACTTCCTCTTTGAAACTTGTTAATTCTTTAGGATCAGAGAACATACTTTAAATGATTTTGATTCTTTTAAGTTTGTTAAGGTTTGTTGTATGACCTAGTATAAGTCTGTCTTGGTGGATGTTCCATGGCACTTGAAAAGAATATATTTTGCAGTTGTTACATAGAGTGTTCCATAATGTCAGCTGAACCTAGCTGGTGACAGTGCCACTGAGTTCTTCCACATCCTAACTTATTTTCTATTAGTTCTACTGATCACTGAGAAAGGAGTGTTCACATCTGCAACTATATTGTGACTCTGTCTGTTCTCATTTCAGTTCTGACAGTTTTTGCTTTATATATTTTGAAGCTCATTTATTAGGTGCATACACATTTACAGTTATTATCTCCTCCTGGTAAAGTTACCCTTTAATTTGTGTATATTGATTCTCTTTATCTCTGGTAATTTTCTTTGCTCTATAGTCTACTTTTTCTCATATTAAGCCATTCTAGCTTTCCTTTGATTAGTATTTGCATGGTATATATTTCTCCATCTTTTACTTCTAGCCTGCCTATATCATTATATTTACAGTGAGTTTCTTGTGGACACCATTTAATTAAGTCATTTTTTATCTGGTCTGATCATCTGTTTTAATTGATGTGTTTAAACCATTTAAATTTACTGTAAATGTTAATATGTTTGGATTTAGATCTACCATTTTATTATTTGTTTACTGTTTGTTCCCTCTATTTTTTATTCCTGTGTTTTCCCCTTTCTTGCCTTCTTTTGGAATATTTGAACATTTTTTAGAATTTCATTTTAATTTACCCGTGTTTTTCTTCTTATACTATATTTTTTGTTATAGATATTTTCAAATAATTGCTCTAAGGATTACAAAATACATACTTCTCAAGCTCTACTTAGAATCAGTGTTTTACCACTTCAAGTGGAGTATAGAAACTATGCACCATGTAAGTTCCTTTACACTCCATCCTTTATATGTAATTGTAATGGTCTTAAGTATTACACTACATACATTGAAACCTCATCAGACAATGTTCCAAATGTTGCTTTCAACCTGTCAGACATATTTTAAATAACTCAAGGAGTGAAGAATAATGTATTACATTTACCCAGATATTTACCATTTTTATTGTCCTTCTTTCTTGGATAATCAAGGTTTCCTTCTAATATAATTTCCCTCCTGTCTGAAGAATTTTCTTTAGCAGTGCTTTCAGAGCAGGTCTGCTGGCAATGAGTTCTGTTTTCCTTTATCTGAGAATGTCTTTATATCACCTTCATTCCTGAAGGATATTTTTGCTTGACACAGAATTCTTATTAACTGTTCTTTTCTTTCAGTAATATAAAATTTCTGTTCCATTTTTCTTCTGCCCTCCATGGTTTCAGTTGAGAAATCCACAGCTATTCAAATCATTATTCCCATTTAATTAACATACATTTCCCTGATTGCTTTTAAGTTTTTTTTCTCTGTCTTTAGTTTTTAATAGTAACTGAAAATAATAATTTTTCTATTATTATCATTATTATTATTCAGTTTATCCTCTTTCAGATTCACCAGAAGCTGAAGCTTAGAGCTTTATTTATTTATTCTGCTCTCTTGCTGCCTTGTTCCCACACTTGCACCTGCATCTGATCCAAATGGTGGGAAGACAGAAAGAGACAAAAAACAACAGGCTCACTCAATACCACAGCTACTCTGATTGGAGAAGTTTCTCCTCCTTCAGAGTTTTAGGTACCTGACTGTGATATCATCACTGCAGGATTACCTGGGGCCTGCCTGGGTCATGAGACAATGGAGAAAAGGTTGAAAAAGAAAATGAAAGATTATCTCCATCACTCACTCTGAGCACTACGGGTCTCCTGTCCTGATCCTCAAATCTGAACTAGGGAGATTCTTTGGGAGTTTTCTCTGTGTTGATTCCCCACTTCTGGATTTTGGGCTGTCTTGACACCAGGCCAGGGGATACCAGAAGAAACAAAAATGGTAAATTTACTAGTTCAGTGATACATCAAATTGTAGCCTTCTTCCCCATTTGCTTGCTAGTATTTTCTCTTCAAAGACCTCTGGTAGCTGCTACATGCATTTTGTCCAGGTTTTATTGCTGCATTCAGTGTGCCTACACAGAATTGGAAACAAAATTGCTTTTGAAACTAAACAAATTTAAGTATTTCCCAATTAATGCAAAATGAAAATACTAATTTCTTTAGAATTCTTTTGTTTTATGCTTTTGAAATTCTCATTTGCTGTAATCCACATTATAACTAAACATTGGCTGTCTTCTCAATAACATTCATAATGCTGAGAAGCGAATTCTTTACTAGCTAATATCATTCCAGTTGGAACTAATGTGTGGGTGGAGGGACTCTTTTGTTTTGGGGAAGTTCTTGTGGAGATTTCTGGGAAATGTAGTCCTCTAAGTGCCAAACAGAAAAACATGGAGGAAGGCCAAAAAAATATTTTTTAAAATGAGAATCTCAGAAATTATCTCTTAATAAACAAATAATAATTACATGGTTTTCTTTGGTTTTGCTTTAAGTAAAGAAATCATTTATAAAATTTAAGTGGACCTTGGGCAGATAAAACATTTCATCCTTAAGTTGCTAATACAGTAGGGTTTTTTTAGACAGCAGGCTTTGTTTCACACAGCTTTTTCAACTATAATTTCCTATTCCTGCTACAATTGTTGGGCCATGTTTTTCCATAGAGCATAATATAATGATGACCATCTGACAGAAGAATTCAATTTAATTAATAGCAGGAAAATAAAACCAATGCCAAAGAAAATAGTAGGCGTGTGTTAAAAAATTATAGGCATTGTTATGGAGTGATGGATTTATCAGAATTAGAGCTAGAGAAAAAGATTTAACTTTGAAGAGTAACACTAAATGTAAGATAATTATCTTTTTATGTACATTATAAATATTAACAATTTCTCAATATTAACTATTTCACTGTACAAATTCTCCTTCAGCTTGACTGGAGAGTAGAGAGTACCATGTGCAGCCTTGCCAAGAGTAGACAGAAACTTAAGAGTCTTAAGGGACAAGGAATGATGTGACATCTGGCCTGGTGTTCTTATGGAAGACTAGGACCAGCACAATGCATGCTTGCTCTCTTAGTATTTATTGAGAACCTAATATGTGTTTGGCACTATTCTAGGCACTGGGAATACAGCAGGGGCCAAAGAAACTTCCTTCCCTTGCAGAGTGTACATTCTAGTGGGAGTGATAATGACAAATATTTAATATACAATATATTAGCTGGTGAAATAAACAAAACTAGGACAAAAGGAGTAGGGGAGGAGTGAATTCTGCTTTATGTAGGGTGGGGTCAAGGAAGTCTCCCTGAGACATTTGAGCAGAGAGAGAGAGATGGAGGAAGTGAGGGATGGTTTTGAGCAGAGGAATGAGTGAGCAGATAGTTAAGGCTGCTTCAGGAGGGAGCCCCTTCCACGCTCCCCACTTCTCACACACGGACTAGATTAGAAACCAGGCCCAAAGAGTGAGTTAACTTATCTAAAGTTGCATGGCTAGTAACAGAAGAGCTAGGCAGAGAATCCAGTTTTCTGGACCACAGTCCCCTTGTTTCAACTGTGATGGCAGATGGAACACAGAGGGAAATGGTGTATAATGAACACTTACTCTAGGTTGTGATTATTTATCTTTCCAAAGATTCACCTCCTTAATACTTCAAAGACAAACATTTTCGTTTTCAGATATTTAAGATTCTTCCCGTCATTTTTCTTAGTAGTCTAAGTACCATTTGCATTAAATAACTCGTCCTTAGCGGTACTTGGTTTAGGGAATGAAAAATATTCCTAAAGGAATTCAGATAAAATTACTATTTAACATAAGCTGACTATGTGGCAGGAAGTGAGATTGGTATCATCATTCCACTTTACAGATGAGAAAGTTGAGGCCCAGAGAGGTGAAGGAACTTGCCCAGGATCACACAGCCTGTTAGTGAACCAATGTGCTTTCTGCCATGCCTCATCACCCAGCTTAGAGTACAGGCTGGTGTGGGTGCTCAGGTCTCTGCTCCCGCTCCCGCAGGAGCAAGATGCCAACTATCTCTTTAAGAAGGAAAAAGAAGACGGGCCGCTTACGCAGCTGCCGGCGAGCCGCCGACTGGCTGGTATCCTCCATCTACCTCGCCCTACTTCCCCGCCCTCCCGGCAGCCTGCTAGCCGCCTCCAGCAGAGGCTCCGGAGAGCAGTTCGGCGGCCTGGGCAGGGCAGCCGAAGCCATGGAAGCCTCGGCAGGTGATGACAGGCACCCTGGAGACCTCCGGGTCCCCCCCACGAGCTGCGTCCACCGCAGCCCAGAGTGCCCAGTGCGGGCTCGGGGGAGGAAAGGCGCGGGCTGGGAGGAGGATCTGACCCGGTGCCCGGCAGGCGGCCCGCCCTCCAGGCTTTTTGGCTGCGGCGGCCCAGCTGTCAGTGACTGGGGGCTCGGCTGCCCGGCTGTCTCCACCCGTGTTCACCGCCCCTGTCTGTTTTCCCCGCCGCCGCAGGTTGCTGATCAGGGCCAGCTGCAGCGGCGACTGCAGAGGCGCTGCGCCAAGCGGGGCCGGAGTGGTGTGACCGGCAGGGCTGCGGAGCAAGTGGACTCAGGTGAGGAGGCCGCGGGGAGCCGGGCGAGAGCCCTGCGCTACAGGGCGGCGGGCGGGGGTAGCTGGAGACGGTCTCTGCGGCAGAATCCCTCAGAGGGCACAGGCCGAGGGTTGGCTGTGACTCATTCTTATCCCCCCCCTTCATTCCCCAACATCCTTCTAAGCACCCCCCCAACACACACGCGCGCGCGCGCGCGCACACACACACTGTGAAATTCACTAATTACAGGATGCTGATTGAAGCGGGGAGGATGCCCAAGGTAGGCGATTAAGAGGGTTTTAGGGACCACCCTATTCCTATTTGTCTTCGTCTTCTGGCATTTAGCAAACATTTAAGCCTCTTTACTTCTTGGGGGAGGAGTGGGGTATACCTGGGGTTGGGAGAAAGATGGAACCCCACACCCAACCCAAGGTCAAGTGCCAACTACTGCTTCCTTCCCATATTCCCCTGAGAAGCAGCAAAGCCCTGCAGTAGATCTGGAAAATATGCCCATGACCCTGAGAGTGGGAGATCTGAGCCTCAGTCTCTCTGTAGCTTCCATGGATATAATGTTTTCTCCTTCTGCTCCTCAGCAGGGAGCTGGGCTGTCTGGAACCCCTGCTAGCCTGGGAGGCCCCAATTCCCCTTTCTCATTCCTGTGGACTGAGGAAAGCCCTGGTCAAACGCTGCCTGTTTCCTCTGCCTTCTCTGCCCATCTGGTGGTATGGGATGAGCTAGAGAAGCTTACCAGAAAAAGGTGATCTCTGCAGGCAGGGTAGTATAGGGGAGGTGCCAGAGACTGGGGTTCTAGTCCCTGAGCTTGCTAGTGGGCCACAAGTAGCCATCTTAAAATTCTCCAGGCGTGGGTGTCTGTCTGTTCATCTGTTAAATGCAGGAGTTGGATTAGATGGTCTGTACAATTTTAGTATGCCACTCAAGTAGCTCTTACATGTCAGAGTCACCCCTCTACTAAAATAAAACAACCTGGAATTTAAACCTGATTCTGTGAAATAACCAGGGTTTCCTCAGTTGATCTCTCTCAACTCTGGACTTCTCAAGTGAAACATTGACCTTGTGAATCTCACAGCACTGGCACATTAGACAGTCCTATACTGGCATTCCTGTGCCATCACGGGGGTGACCTCTGTCAAGCTAATTCCCATCCCAAGCTCCAGTTTCCTCATCTGTAAATCTGGGAAGAGGGGTTCATGACTCGGAGAGTTGATATGAGGATTAAATGAGATGTATATGGAAGCTCTGAAAATAGTGCCAGTGTCTGGTACATAGTAGGTTTTCAGGGATGCAGGACTTGGGAGATAGACTCCCGGGAGAAGGGAGGGCTGGCTGCCTGCCAGCCCCTTTCACATCCCTGCGGATGGTGTCCCTGCCAGGGAATAATGAATGCTGGAGTGTGTTGGGCTTCTGGGCTGAGGGCCTAAGAAGCAACAAGGAGGTACAAACACTTCCACTGAGAGGCTGTGACATCATTCTAGCAAATGATGGTCCCAAGGAGGCATATATAGCCCAACACTGGGTTTGGAAAATCTTATAGCCGAAGGCAGAGTCCCTAAGGGAACAGCAGAAGCACCAGAATCCTGCGTGCAGGCGGGGTGCTTTCCTGGTCCCACTGCTGCTCCCTTGCCCTCCCTGGAGCCTCTCACTAGAATCGTCCTGAGATAATGCAGTCATGTTTTGGGTGTCTGCATTTTCTATTATTTACCTCCCCTCCTGCTGTCATTTTCAGCCTTGCATTCAGCCCTTCTTGCTCCAATTTGTTGCACAGATACATTCCGACTCTTGACAGCAAAGAAGCCTCCTGATCGGGTGGGCCAGGGCACTTGGCTGATGCACCATCTGGGCCAAAAGAAGTTATGTTCCCACCTACCCTAAATCCCCATGAGATTGTGGGCTTCTCCCAACAGAGGCCCTGTCTCTTCTTTCTGTGTCTCCCAACTGCTAGCCTGTGATTTGGCACAAAATAGCTACTCAGTAAGTGTTAAATTGAGTAAATTTGAGGATATTATGCCCCTAACTAGTTTAGAAACTAGAGACCGTGTTGACAGTACGTAAAAGCACTAAATACAGGGCACTGTGCAGGCTGCTGGTTGCCATTATTATTATTATTGCTATTACTAATACTGTTATTACTGCTATTGTCAGTGACCAAAAGTTGTTTTGCCTTCCCCTCGAGTCAGGCTTGAAGGGGTTAGATGTACCTGGGAGAGTGGTGATGTTGGCAGACAGATGGTGCTGACTAGTGGAAGATGATCTTGAAGGGAAGAGATTGGGGAGATAGCGACTCTGACCACTTGCTGTGTTTGCGGGCTGGGACAGATAAGGAGAATCTAGTGGGTGCAAAGTAGAAAATCTTGTTCCACCACCACCTCATTGTGTGACCTTTGGCCAATCACACCTTCTCGGAAGACCTCTGGGTCCCCCACTATAAAACAAGAGGACTGGGCTACATGATCCCTAAGGCTCCTTCTGGTTCTGACATTCTGTCAAGTGGATTTTGTTAAAAATGGGGCCATTATTATTACTCTCAGTATCATTTATGGAGTACCAGATCATTACTCTCTCAGGTAATCCTCAAACAAATTACACCTATTTGAAAGATGAGAAGACTGAGGCTTAGAGAGATTGACTGGCCTAAGACTGCACAACTAGAAGTAGCAGAACTTCTATCTGACACCTGTCTGTCTGACTCAAAAGCTGATCTAAAAGCTTTGCTGCCTCCCCATACATGCCTTGCTGTCATCACAGTGAGTTGTGTGTGTACTTGAACACATGCATTGGGGTTTGGAGAAGGGAAAGCTGCCATGGATTCATGGCAAGAGACCAGATGTTCCCCCAAGTGATTGCTGCAGGGACTTGCTGGGTCCAGGAGTGTGTCAGTTAGGGTTGGAGAGTCTTCCTTTCTCTGTGAGTGCTGCTTTGCTGATGGGAGATGGGTGCCCCTTTGCCAAGTAGAATGGCTGGGCCTGAATGACAATCACAATAAACACACTTTTTGAGTGCTCCCTATGTTCTTGCTCTGTCTTACCCAGGTTGACTTATTTACTCCTCAGACAATCCCATTATGTAGGCTCCTATAATTTTAACCATTTTACAAGTGAGAAAGTCAGGGCAGAGAGACAAAGGGTCTTGCCCAGAGTTGCATAGCTAATGTGTTGTAGAACCTGAGAAAGGTTAGCTGGAAGTAAACTGTACTGGGAGTCAAAAGGGTTGCTTTTAGTCTCAGCCCTTTCATTGACTGAGTAACCTGGGTAAGCCAGTTTCCCTGCAAAGGGAGTGGATGCGTCCATTGGCTCTAAAAGGCCTGTGTGCTTCCACCTTGTCCCAGAAGTGGTAGAAGGGATTCCTTGTCTAGCTGAACATTGATAATTGATCGGCATTTCTTTGTTAACCAGACCCTTCATTAGCCATCCCTAAGCGCACAAGATATAGCGAAGAGTAAGAAGTGATCCCTAGTTTCAAGAGGCTCCGATCTAAGAGGGAGACAAATATCTAAACATGTAGTCATGATAAGCCATCTAGGAGCTGTGACACGTACTGATGTGACTAATTTGGGGTACAATGGGAGACAGAGGGAGGTGGATGGTCTTCCTACTTAGTGGGTCAGGAAGGCTTTAGAGATGCAGTGCCATTGTCACCTTCTGACTTTCTGCATTGAGTCTGTGACTGGTCATCTTCATTATCATCATCACATCAGTATCATCTACCCAGTTGAGGAAGTTTCTTAACAGTTCTCAAGACTTGTTGGCTCTTTCCCCCAGCAACCCAGAAAGCGGCCGCAGAGTCTGAGGGACCATTCAAGCTCAGGCTGTGGCACAGTTCCAGTTGGACTATTCATTTGTCCTGGAACGTTTCCTGTCCTTGGAGGCTTCTAGAGGCAGGACTCTGAAACTCCTCTTGGAAATACAGCCTATGGAGCACTAAATAACCATCCAGTAGGCCTGGGAATTCTTCCTCATATCTATTCTCTCAGCATTCTACCTGTTTGGAGCATCTAACACTTAGGGAGGTGAAGGCATTTGCCCAAGATTACTCAGCAAGTCTGGACTCATAACTCTAGTCTAATTGGGATTGCATTTCTGAGCCATATGGGGTCTTTTCATATCCAGGTCATCAGAGGCCTTAGGGGTCATTGCTTCATTTGATGGGAAGCTCACACTGCTTAAAGTTTTGATATGGTGACAAGAAGCTAGGCTGAGGGCCCTTAGACAAGGGGAGGCCTATGTTCCGGGACTGCTTTGCACCTCTTAATGGACAGATATTTATGAAGTGTTGGTCACATGCTTGGCACTGTCCTCTGAATTGAGATGCTGAGCCAACCGACAGGGAGTGTCTGGGAAGCAGCCTGGCACAGTGGAAAGAGCCAGCACAGAGGGGGTCAGGAGACTTGGATCCTCATTAGGCTCTGCCATCAACTCATTGGGTGGCCTGAGGCAAAGCCCCTCACTTTTCCATACCTGCAAAATGAGAGCCAGAGGTGGTAATGTCCAAGGGCTCTTCAAGCTCCGACTGCCTAATAATTCAGCAACTCTTTCTTCTGTTCTGTAACCACTTTAGGGGGTACATGAATGGATCAGATACAGATAACTGTAACTTGAGGAAGAATGAGATAAATATAACAAGAGGCATGAACAAATGCTCTGTGGGTTTGCTGGAGGGAGAGGGCTTGGGAAAGGCTCAGTTCAAAAGCCACCTCTTCAAAGATAGGATGAGGTACAGATAAAGGGGTTTTTTGGAACCAGGATGAGTAGCAGAAGCATGCCATCATTCTGTCACGCTGGGACAAGAAGGCTGTGTCTCAGAGCAGTGGTTCTCAGACTTTGATTTCAAAGATCTGTGCATTTGGGATTCTATCCTAGGTTGGCCAACTTTTTATTTTGCCAGGTAAGGACATTCAAATGATGCTTAAATGTATTTCTGTTTACTATCACTCTCATATAAGTGAGAGAAGGAACATTTTAGCACTTCTATCCCCAAAGCAAGAAGACTATATATCAGGACAAAAA